CCATTGCAAATATTATACAAGATGTCATATTATTATATCATTATACAAGATGTTATATTTGTAGAAAAAAATATTTGTAGAAAAAATTCAGGGATAAAAATCGTATTTATTACCAATTATTAAAGATTAATGTTTTTGTTCAAGTTTATAAATTGAAAAAAAATAAATTGGCACGTATGTGGTAGAAGAGAAACGTAATTAAATTCCACTATTTCCACTGAAATGTCACGTAACAGCGTGGAATAACAATGAGTCCTCGCTTATCGTTGCATTACATTTACGAGGAAATCGTTAACGAGTAATGTTAAACCGTTTACATCTATTAACTATACATGTTATGGATAAAGAGAAGGAGATTATTTTGAGATATCGGGATTAAAGGGACGATAGTAATCCGAATATTTGCTCTATTGAATATTTAAAAGGCAAACTTATAAATAAGTAATACCTCCTGAATTGAGCTCATACGTTATCGATTACTAGTAAATTACACGAAAATATTCCATGTATCAAAAACACGTACAGAAATCTGATAAAATTTTCAAGAATGGAAAGCATAAATATCGAATAAAGAGCGGGAAAATTCAAATTGATATTAATATATTTCGATTAACATTTTCGTCTTTCGAAGAAAATATATGGAAAGTTGAAAAAAAGTTCTATCGATCAAGAATAGAAATCATTTCAATGAAAATAAATGTTAAATGTTCAAAAAAATAAAATAGAAAACGATATTATACAAAAAACAATTGATATCAATTATTCAATGATTAAAATAATATTAAGATTTTCGTTAGATGAAAAGAGAGAGGCAGAGCGCAATAACAGTTTATGTAACAGAGATAGAACTATCTCATTCTATGTATCTCGCTTCATTCAATGAGAATTTCAATTACTTAATAACAATTAAATCTCAACCAATATTATATCAGCTTTTGCGATTGTTTTGACTTCTAAAATCAACTTTCCAAAGATACCCTATGAATATTTTAACATTGTGTACATGTAATACAATGTTACATCACCAATTGCACAAACATATTAATGATATGTTATGCAAATGCAAGCTAACAAGTTTGTTTTGTTCAATCAATAGTGATGATCAATTATTAGCCAATCAATTGTCGAATGTTGTTTCTACTTAAGAATGATAATTAATCAAACAAATTGAATAATTAAGATTTTCATTAATAAGAGAAAGATAATCTATTTTCATTACCAGCTTCCAAATAAAACGTAATAAAGTAAGACAGAATCTTACTTTTTTAATATAATCTATATACTTTTTTAATCTATAATCTTACTTTTTTTTAATCTATTTTCATTACCAGCTTCCAAATAAAAAGTAATTTGTATAAATACACTATAATAATTAACCTAATTAAATTTGTCATCAGATTTTTAATCCACCGAAATAATTTAATTTATAAAAATGAAAAATATCACTATTCGTTCGAACCTGAATTTAAAGGATTCAAAAAATTAAAATTTGTTAAAATTTCAATTGTTGATAAAATATTTAATGCGAGAGATATAACGATCGATTCGATTTAAACGATTAAATAAATACCTTTACGTTTAATAAAATTTTGTGTATCGAGTTATACCAATTGGAAAATAATTCGATAAAATGATAAATAAATGATATCCTCAGGAATCCTAAAAATCGTTTCATGATTTTCTAGATACGACGAGAATAAATTTATCCTCTGAAATGAAATTTTATTGGCCATCCAAATCGAATTATGTCGTACAAACAAAAGGGTGAGGTGGCACGTGGTCGTTAAAGATAGTTACTCTCGTACCCCGTTCTATGCTACCCAAGGATACCATTAATTTAGAATTGAACCGATTCTGGATCGTGAAACGTGGATAAGAATACTCGGCTTACTCCAAATGGAAGGGAAAAAGAAACGATGCACAAAATGTTCGCGCGGGAAGAAAGGAAAAACGTATAAAGAAAATGGAAATAGGAAAAAAAGTAAAGTTATAGACTGACTGGAGGTGAGTCAGACACGTCTGGAGATAAAAGGAACCCGACGAGGGATCCACTTCGTTGGAAACTGAGTCGGCGAGATTGGATGGAGTGCATATTAACCTCCCAGTAGACCTGCGATGAGGTCAGATAGTGTCGACTTATTTATTTGTTTCTTGGAAAGAAGGAAGAAGGGAGAGAGTTAGGAGAAGGATTGTGAGAGGATAAAGACCAATTCGTGTTCTAAACGAGATAAATTTTCAAAATGGAAATTTCGAAATTATTTGCTTGGAAAAGAGTGATTTTGTTCCAAATATGTTCTTTCTAGAAATTATTTCGTTTTTCAATAAATGTGTCTGTTTAAAACTATTAGATATGCGATATCTATATTTATTCTTTTAAAGATGGTTTCCTAATCTCTAATTAATATTATAAGAGTTTTATATTATAAAAGATGGAAATCTATAATGCAATTTATTATAACAGTCTTTTATATGTTCAATCTTTGATTGACTTATTTTAAATTAAATTTTTAATTGGGATTACACATTATAATCTATCCTAGTCTATCATTAATTTAACTTTAGCATTTAATTTCTTTCTCGTCCACTATAAATCAAAATTTACCCATAGAAATGTGAAAGCATGCGAATGAATAATGATCACGACAATCTATGTCGCATGGAATTTTTTCTGGAATATCTATAGTACATTAGCGATTTAAGCGATCATGTGCAGAGAAAAATGCACATTTGAGAATTGTATCTAATTTAATTAATTATCTACCTATTATTAATTATCTATCTATTTCTTCGACCAATTTACTTCGTGTAATTTTATTATTTTTATAACAAAGAATCTTTCGATCCATTTTTTTATTAAAATCCTAATTGCGAATCTATGTTAAGTTATATTTCGTATAAAATTAAATTAATGTAAAATGGATTTCGTCTTGGAATAAAACTACTCAAAATTTTATGTTGAAAAACTACTCAAAATTTTCGTATGAAAACATTTTTTCAAATTAATTTAATTTAAAATGAAATGGCATAAAACGATATATAATATTATTCTAACAGAGAATAAACTGACTAAAGAGAAATATATCGTGCACAATATTTTATATAGATGAGATGATTGTATCAAGAAAATGAAAAAATTTTATATTATATTCCTCGAAAATTGTTAATAATGTTAATAACAAGATAATATTAAATAATAAAACATTATAATGTAATTTATATTATAATGTATATTTAAATTTAATTTAAATATTTGAAATAAAATATTTTAATATTTTTATTTTCATTCATCTTATATAAAAAGAATAGAAATAAGATAAGAATTGATCCTCAATGCCATCTTTTAAATGCCGAAAATATTTCCCTAAAGGCAGAATAGAGGATAAGAATTGAAGATCAGCGATATTTCTTAAGTATTAAAAACATAATTTCTAAAAATATTTAAAATATAATATTTATCTACAAACGAGAAACAAAGATTAAAATAGGCCTGACATCTTGTGGAAATTTTGTATGTTTGCATCAATATCAATCTCGAAAAAGAGTAGACTTACGCCATCTACCATATTATAATCTAAGTATAAAATGAAATTATTTAAAAGAATAAAGTAAAAATCAAAAATCTAAATCTCTCTTCATAATTTTAAAAAATAAAACGAGAATTTTATCTATCACCTTAATAAAATTTCTAGTTACGAAAAATATAATTCCAATTACAACCAATTAGCTCATATTTTTTCTTATAAAATATTTTTCCTCATAATTGTGATATTTTTAAATATATTCTTATAATTATAGCACTAATATTAACAAAATAATATGATTATGTATTATATATTAAATAATAATGATTTCTAATAATGACTCACCGATTGTTGAGAAAATTGCAGGTTGCTGCGAAGTTTTAGAGACTCATCTTGATCACAACACTTCAAAGTCTTATTCACTCTTTTTACGCACAAAAACTTATTTATTCAAATAAATTTCAAATAAATTCTTCTTTTGATGTATATTTTCAAACTTTTAATCGTTGTTAAACACAAGAACCACAAGAAACTGAGAAGAAACCGGCGCGGCACGGAAGTATGACGCGAACATGCGCAATATGACATGGGCATGCGCAGTATGATGCAGACATGCGCAATATGACACAAACATGCGTAGTATGATGTGCTCATGCGCAATATGATGCGCAATGATTCGTTTTGCCGCGTAAATTTTAACGACTTTCTGATTGGCTGAAATTTCTATTCATTTTAACCGCGCAAAATTTAAAGAAAAATATAGTTTAACTATACATTTTTAATACAATCTTAACACAGTCAAATTCTTATCTTGGAAAATATCCCAATTAAAAATATAATAAGAATGAATTATAATTAATTTAATATAAAAATTATTCAAATTAAAAAGACTGCAATATATGATTAAATATTTAAAAAAAAATGAATCAAATCTGAAAAGAGTTTCAGTTATTATAAAACGAATATTAAATATTAATTAAGTTAAATTAAAAAATATTGAAACATGAAAGAATTAAAATATTTTAAAAGGATAAGAAATAAATAATAAATATTAAAGAATACTAATTAAATAGTAATTAAAAATACTTATATTAAATTCCATTAAAATAAACATTATTGAAAAAAGCAATAAAAAATAAAATGAGTAAAATAGAGGAATCATTGAAAATAAATGATAATAAAAAAAATAAAAAAAATATATTTATATATTAATGTAATCATTAATATATATTTCATAATGAAAAAAAGATTATAATCTCAAAATTCTACATTTATCAGAAATATATCTAAAAATCTAATTTCGATATATATATATGTGTGTGTATGTGTATATGTGTGTATTTGATATCGTTGTCATTTTTAATTTATTAAAAAATATTATGTTACGAGATTTATTAAATATTATAATGTATTAAATTTTATTAAATTATTTCTTAGTATATTTACGTAAATAAATATATTGATATGCAATAAATTGAATTTTACTATTTTTTTCTTTATATATTTCCTTTTTTCAGAGGTTATGTATCATTCTCTTATTTAAGGTTATTCTTCTATTTAGAATTATACCATAAGGTAGTTTAAAGTTATCACATTTAATTTAATAATAATAAACAACTTTATTATTTTAATAATTTGATTTATATAATAGACGTATTTTTAATTCTGAATAATTTAAATTTATGTAATTACAAATTTAATAAATTATTATAGAAAATATAAATTATATTTAATATGCCTTTTAAGCATATTAATAGTAATGATTAAAACAAAGTAATAAATTATAAAATTTTCTATAATTTGTAATAGGCTATCTTCTGATAATATTTTTTATATTATTATAAATTTAAAATTATGACAACTATGTGTAAAGACAAAACACAAGAAACTTTGCAGAAAGAAGAACTTCAACTACTAACTAAATCAGTAAATATATTTTATTTTATCAAACTCCAATATTTTTATTAAGTTTCAATAAGAATTAAGATATTTTAATATAAATGTTACCTTATAAAAGTTATTTTTATAAAGTTTATTTTTATTAGGAATTGATAGAAAGGATAGTAAATTTAGAAAAAGAAAACAAACAATTAAAGACTGTAACTAATGAAAAAAATGAAAAATCAAAGAATAATGATATTATTCGTAAATCACAAAAACCATTTGACTTTTCAAAGTATGTAATATAGATAAGAAAAAATTGTGATATTATTAGAATTGATATTATTTTAATTTTAGATCTAACAAAAGACATATTTTGTTAAAATTTTATTATCTTGGATGGGATTATAATGGTTTTGTTGTACAAGAGAGTATTGATAATACAATAGAAGAACATTTATTTGAAGCATTAATAAAAAGTTGTTGTATAGAGTCACGTGAAACATCAAATTATCATAGATGTGGAAGAACAGACAAAGGTGTTAGTTCATTTTCACAAGTAATTTCTTTGGATATAAGGAGTAAACTAAATCCAGAAGACCAATATAAATTAGAGGATGAACTTCCATATTGCAAAATATTAAATAGATTACTTCCATCTAACATAAGATGCATTGCATGGTGTCCAGTACCTAATGATTTTTCAGCAAGATTTAATTGTAAATTTAGAACTTACAAGTACTTTTTTCCAAGAGGAAATTTAAATATAGATGCTATGAATAAGGCTGTTAAATATATTATAGGAGAGCATGACTTTCGAAATATTTGTAAAATGGATGTTGCTAATGGAGTTACTAATTATATAAGAAAAGTTATTAATGCAGAAGTATGTATGTATCGCCAAGATTTTAGAAATATTTCAGGTAAGTATTTTATTTTAATTAATTAAAAATAATATTGTGTACACATATATATATATATATATATATATATATATATACATTTATAGATTTAAAATACATTGTGTTAAGTAAAATGAGTTTTTTACTATATTTATATAATCTTTATTTATAGGATATGATATGTATCAATTAATTATAACAAGTCAAGCATTTCTATGGCATCAAATTCGTTGCTTAATGGGTGTTTTATTTCTTATCGGTGAAGGAAAAGAAGAGGCTGAAATTATGTTAGAGCTTTTAGATATTGAAAATTGTCCTAAAAAACCACAATATAATTTAGCTCATGAAATACCATTAAATCTTTGGTATTGTGAGTATGATGCTAAAGAATGGTATATTCATAAAGATGAATTATTCAATACAATAAAACTTTTACAAAAAGATTGGACTTTAAATACAGTAAGGTACGTAAAATTTTAATAAATGATATATTAGAAATAATTTAAAAAAAATATAAAATAATTAATAATAAATAATGGAAAATAACTTTTATATTTATTAAAAAAATTAATATTTATTTTAAAAAATGTAATTTTTATTTTAACAGATCAATAATGATTGAAAACATGTTATTGGAATTAGAAAATTCAATCAATTACAAAAATATGTTTTTTCAAAGTGAATGCTTATTACTTGGAGTACAATCTAAAGTGTATCAACATTTAATGAAACGACCCACATGTGGTTAGTTTTTAAATTCATTAATTTTTTTTCAACTTTAAAGAAAATAATAATATTTTCTCAAGAAAAAAATTTTATTTACAGAAAGCTTGGAAAGTAAAATAAAACACTATGAAACTAAAAAAAAGAAAAAGGAATAATTTCTAAATTGTAATTTATAAAATTTATTAAAATTACTCTCTCGTGTGATTTATTAAATAAATGAATGTATTATTTTCCAACAATAAAGAATTTTAATTTTGTCAATTTATTATTATACCCTTTAAGACTTTAAGAGAGATAATAGAAAAATAATTTAAAAAATATCTCATTGCTTTATCTATCTTTCTCTATTCAAAACAAAATTTTATTATCAAATGATTGTACAAAACAGGAAAAAAAAGAACTTTAAAATAATATACTAAATATACGAATTATATTCATAAGATACGAATTTATTTTATAAAATTAATTCTATTTAATTTGAATGTTGCTGAATTTTGTTTTGCTTTTCGTTTCGATCCATAAAGCCGTAGGAACATGCGCTTACGTTTACTCCGGTCTCGCACTTGCGCCTTTTCAGTATCACTCTTATCGAGCTTACGTTCAGTTGCCTTCTCATAACTTTCTTTGATCATGAATATGAAAAACCAAACATGAAAGAATAAAAATTTGTAATTATTTAAAATGATTAGTTGAACGGTAAAATTAATCTAATAAACGATGTTTTAATTATTGAAAATTAATATCGGGAAAGGTATGTATTTCATTATAATTAATTTAAGATATTTAATTATTCATTTAATGATTGTAAATTGTAAATGATAATATAATATTATTTTTATAGATTAATATATTTTTTATAAATATCTTAAAGTTATAATTATATTTCTTAAAGTAATACTTTCAGTTTCTTTTGTATCAAAATATTCAAAATTTTACAATAATGTATAGAGATAATTTTATCTTATTTTTTCAAAATTAAATCTAGCACAATTTTCCAAAAGAAAATCTTAATTTCAAATTTAAGAAATTTATTATTAATAAATGATTAAAATAAAATTAATTCGAAGGATGTGATAGAGATAATATCATTCATACTCTTTGTTACCGGAAATAGTAAAAAATTTTGGGCGGGAAATATAATTTTTTAAAAAATAAATTTAATAATATATATTTCTTTAAATATATGTGATTTTATTTGCTTAAATTCACTATATATTTTTTATTTATTTAGATGCTGTTAAACAAGCAGATGTGTTCCATGTATACAGAGATCTTTTTTATTTTTTGTATATCGAATTTGATAGAATGCTTTAGTGTACCATGCACATTTAATACCATGTGCATGTGTTGGATTCAAGACGACGAGGATTTCACGAAAATGGACATTAATTGTATGGGAGTACCATTTGCCAGATTTCCAGGTAGATAGAATGAAATAACGTAAACGTAAAAATAAATTTATTTTTCTTTCTTTAATTAAAATAATAATATATGTTTTTTTAAATACTTTATACGAAATATTTAAATAAAAAAATATATATTTAATAATAGATGTCTCCGTGAGTTATGTGGCTCAATTAGACGTAGTTGGATCTGGAATGCAATCATTAGACAATGATGCACTTACAAGTTCAGTTGGTGTCGAGGCTTTAGGATTAATGAGCAATCGATTGTCCAATATTGGCGATAAATCTTTTTCGTAAGTTAGTATAATGAAATTATGTTTGCTTTATGTTTGCTTTATTATTTTCACAGTGATATTTATACAGCAATTTCAATATAAATTACGCATTAAATTATAACAATTTGCTACGTGAATTTTTCTTTTTAAAGATAAAATAATATGTTTTAAACGTTTGTTATTAGAGGTATTGCGGATAGTTTACGCTCATTGGATCTCAGCTACAATGCCTTGGAGGATGTGCCATTTAAAGTCTTTCGTGACTTGAGGAAACTAAATTGGCTCAACATGCACAGGTATGTAAAATGTAATATAGATTTCAATATTAAAGAACAATCTATCAGAAATTAATTCATGAATTAATTCATGAGTTCATTTAAGAGAAAATAATTGAAAATATAATTATTTTAGATACTTTAATACTTTATCATATTGTCATATTTTAATTAATTAATAAATACTTTATTTAATTTAATTTTAGCAATCATTTAACGTCGTTAGACGGTGACTGGGGTCACTCGAAAGACGCATTAACAAACGCTTTCTTCGGAGATAATTCAATCATCGAGATACCAAAAATATTCAGCACATTTGAATCTCTAGTCTGGTTGAATCTCGACAATAATAATATCGAGGAAATTTCAGAAGATACTCTACCTCCCAACATACACACTCTTAGTTTGAACAGTAATCTCCTTAAATCCTTTCCATCCACGTTGAAATTCTTGAAACAGCTCACGTGGTTATATCTGAGGGGAAATGATTTTAAAAATCTCGAGTTACCCGATTTTCAAACATCAGATTTAGAATTGGTCGACGTGAGTGAAAATTGTATCGAATGGATTCGTACATCAAGCTTGACCAATCGAACTTTGAAAATTAAAGAGTTCAATTTGGATAGCAATAAGTTGACATTGTTACCTGCTGGAATTTTCGATCATCTTGAAATCAAGAGGATACATCTGTCCTCGAATTCGATCAAAAATGTCGACGATGATGCATTTCGAGGGCTCGAGGATATGTTGGAGTACTTGAATTTGGAGAACAATGATCTTCCTAGTGTTCCAGGAGCTGTCAGTCGATTGAAAAAATTGTCGTATCTGTATCTTGCCAATAATGACATAAGGAATATATCTGGAGACATATTTCATGAGTTTGGTGAGAATTTGAGAGCACTTTCATTGGCTACAAATAGTTTGGACGCGGTTCCAGTTGTTGCTCTTTCTAGGTATCTTGATTTTTAATTATTAATCTATACATATTCCATATTTAATATACACATTTCTTATATATTTTTACAAATAAATTGTAATTCTATTAGAATATGTATATCTTCTTCTATTAGAGTAGTTCAGAAATAGATAATCAAATTTTTATGTAGTATTCTATTCTATGATGAAAGAAATATAGGCATTCTTTATAAGATATAACTTTTTTCACTTTGGATAGCTATACTAGATTTCTAGATTTCTAAATAAATAAGAAGTTTTATTATATTTTGAAAAGAAATAGTTTTTGAGGTTTAGAATAATATCATATTAAAATTTGATTATTTTCTAAAATATTTTGTGTATTACTTAGATTAATTTGATATTATATAAAATAGATGCCAAAGGTTGCTGCACCTTAATCTCGGTTACAACAAAATTTCTTATATTCAATCTGGTGATTTTGAATGGGCAGAAGATCTTGAAATTCTCTTGCTTAGGAACAATATATTGACAAAATTGAAAGATGAAACCTTTAAAGGAGCAAGTAAGCATAAATTTTTCACATCATAATTTTATTATATTTGATTTTCTTATACAATTTTTATGCTTAAAAAAAATTTATTTCAATGTATATTTCTTTAATCTCAAAACTGTAAAATAATATTTAAAAGATATTTAAAGAATGAAATTATAAAAAAAAGAAGAAAAAATAAAATTTCAAATAAATTTTCATCAAGATTTCTTTTACAAGAAATAAGAATTAATTTCAAACGAATGCTTTCAGAAAAGCTGAAGGAACTCAGTTTGTCCTTCAACCACTTAACAGAACTTAGCGACGATTGCTTCATTGGCATCGAGGAGAGTCTCGACATTCTCGAGCTAAGTTTCGCTTTTGCGACTGATGTCTTTCCTCAACGAGCTCTCAGGCCTCTTTCCAATCTGCTCTGGCTTGTCTTGGATAACAATAACTTTCAGACCATAGATGCAACCGCGTTCTACTCTTTTCAACGATTACGCTACATCAATCTGGAATCGAATCGACTTCATTATCTACCAGAACGAATATTCCTGTCCAGTGTGCATCCAGAATTGAGAGATGTGAAGCTCGGTTACAATTTTCTCGAAGCCATTCCAGAATTCAGTTTTCACAATTTGACAGAATTAAGATCTTTGGATTTGACTGGAAATAGAATAAAGATTCTCAATTCTGACTCGATCATGGATTGTCCGGAATTGGTGACGATTTCATTGGCTTATAATCGTATCACCAAAATGGAGAAAAACGCTTTTTACGGTTTATCCAATTTGCGCTTCCTTCATTTGGAATTTAATAAATTAACCACGTTGGATCTAGATGCAATCTCGGAGATAGGTGGTCCAGATTTTGCTCTCAATGTTTCTTATAACGCAATTTCTATTATAAATTCAGGAGGATTGATGAATAATTTGACGAGACTCGATTTGAGTTTTAATAATATTAGTCATCTGCCAGCGGATACGTTTTATGGCACCCCAGATCTGAAGATCTTGGATCTTCAAAGTAATTTCATCGTTGTTCTCGAACCAGGTAGAGTAATATTTTTACACATTGTCATTAAATTAATTAAATTTTGAATTTTTAAATTTTTATCCATTATTTCTATTCTATTTATCATTTTTTGTGACATTATTATATCAGATATTTTTAAAATTAAAAAGAAATCTAAAAAAGTAATTGAAACAGAAGATTTGTTTTTGAAAATTTGATCGTAAAATTTAATTAACACGTGTGTATATATAAATCTTTTCAGGTACTTTTACACTAAGACACTTGGAAACGTTAAATATACGGAACAACAAGATAGAAGGTTTAAGAAAACAATCTTTCCACGGCTTAGAATTGTTGCAACAATTAGACTTGAGCGAAAATCAAATTGCACAATTGCTCACCGAACAATTTCGTAATTTGAAGAATCTACGAATCTTAAATTTATCCGGAAATAAAATAAGATCTTTACCCAGAGACGTTTTCGAAGGAACAAAATTGGAAATTCTTGATCTGAGCAATAATAAATTTACCGTGGTACCGTCGCCATCTTTTCTCGAGGTTGGTTATACGTTAAGGGATCTCAATTTGGCGGACAATTTCGTGGATCATCTAGATTCGACTGCCTTTCCAACTTCCCAATTGGTTTCCTTAAATTTGGCTCATAACAGGCTAACAATTCTGCCAGATAATTCGTTCGTCTCTTTGGGAAAACTTTTAAGCCTGAACGTGTCTCAAAATGTTCTTCAGGCGAATTTTAAAGAGCTGTTTCATTATTTGCCCGGACTGAGACAACTCTATTTGGCTAATTGCGGACTTAAAGATATACCTCTTCTTCCGTTGATGAATTTAAACGTTTTGGATTTATCATTTAATTATATAGACTCAACACCTGACAAACAATTTCAATATTTGAAAGATTTGAAGATTCTGTTGTTCGTGAACGATTCACTGACCTCTATGCCTAACGTCAAGTTGAATCTGTTGAGAGAACTTGACGTGTCAGGAAATCCAATAGAGGTATTGAGATATCTATTTATGTCTTTTTTCATTTGCAATATTTTGTTAAATTATTATTAATATAAAGGACGAAAGATACATCTAACAAATTGAATTGAAAAATGTAGGTATTAATGAAGGAGAGTTTTCTGGGTTATCCAAGATTAGAAAAGTTGAACTTGCGAAATCTGAATAAAACTAAATCGGTGGACAAAGACTGCCTTCGTGTCTTAAAATATTTGAAGCATCTTCGAATTCAAACGTGGCCTGAAGCGGATGGTTTTCACCTTCGACCCCTTTTAACCGGATTACCGTTGAGAACTGTGGAGATACAAGTGACGGAGCATTTGCTGAAACATCAAATACAAAATGCTTTCACGAAGCAGTTGAGAGAATTAACTATTTCAGGGAGTGATCTCGAATCAATTTCCTCGGAAGCTTTCTCTACTATCGAAGGGGGTGAACTAATATTGAGGATCAGAGATACTCGAGTCCGTCGATTGCAGTCCGACATGTTCCTCTCCTTGACGAAAAGACTCTCTCAATTAACATTAGATTTGAGGAACAATCACATCAATGAGCTTAGTCCTTCGGTTATTTATGGGAATCTTTCGTGGGAAAGTGTTGGGACCAATATGGTTGCTGGTGAGTGAAGACAATCCTGAGTAACGATATTTGAAATAACAAATAAAAATATATTATTGCATGATACTTCTTCAATTATAGTTAAATACAATCAATTTGAAATAATAATTTGTTCTTATATTGAATAAAATTTTATATTTTATGTTTTTTTTTTTAATTAATTACAAAATATAAAAATAATAAAATTGCACTTTGTGAATGAATCAAAAAAGCATATTATAAAATTCACTGTAATATAAATTAAAGATATTATTAACAGATATTAAGTAGCTTAGTTGAAAATTAATATTTAAATAAAAAATTAGTTATTGTTATTAATTATTATCTACAACAAAATTTTTAAATTGAAATCATCACATCAAATAATTGAATCAAATATAATGTAATAAATGTAATAATAAATGTAAAATATATCATTTGAAATAATATAATAATAAGAGAAGTATAATTAGAAAATTCAATTATTCAAAAATAAAGAAATTTACAACAACGTTATTTTTCAGGAGGTTTACAAGTGTCAGGAAATCCTCTCGAATGCGATTGTGAGATAGCTTGGCTCAGCTTATGGTTGCGAAGATGGCTTCGAGAATCTCGACAAATCCACACTGCTTCGCAATCGGATGCTCGACAATTAAGAACAATTGCTGGAAGAGCTGTTTGTACCGAAACCACCCCATCTTATTCCTCTGATAAAGTTCTGTTAACTTTAGGAACTCCTCACACTGCCTGTCAAGCCTCTGCCCTTAGCTCTGGTAATTATGAGAGATTGGCCACTACCTGGTTAGCCATTGTGGACATTATTCTCCTAACAATAGTGGCTTATTAAATTGTTTATTTTGTAATGAAATTAAGAGATGATTATTATGGTTTTATTACCTTTTGAATATTTTTTATTTTAATATAAACACTATATAGGAATTGATCTTTTTATAAGAATTAAAATATAATTTTAAATTCAAATTTTGAGCGAATGAAAGAAAGAAAGAAAATGTGTGATGTAAAAGAATTATATTTGACAATGATATTTTTTAAAATAGAATACCTATTTTATTTTTTAAAATATTTTGATATTATTATTCTTTATATATTATTATAATTATTTTATTAGTATTGAAAATAGTATAGAAAGTATTGCTTTTTTATTTTCTTTTCTTATAACATCATGATATCATTTCTTATAACATCTTATAACATCATGTTATGTCAAATTATGTTACTTTTTTTATTTTTTATAAAGAATTTATCAAGATATCAATACATTAGAATATGTAAGTATACATATTAAATTTTAATACAGATTGAAATAAGCATTGATTCTCATAATAATTTATACAAATTTCCATTATGCAATTTAAAGACTGATATAAAGTAGAAAAGCAATATGATTTCTTCGTTGTATTCAATTATATACTGAATTGTTATTGTTATTATTATTGTAATTATTTTAATTTAATTTAATATAGAAACATTAATAAGAAAACATAATAACATATGCGCACAAATAATGTTATCTTCATGAATGACAAGTTTAATATAGTACATATAGTATACATTAGTTGTTCAACATGTTACTATAAAATTTGTTTAAAAAAATAAAGGATTTTTTATACTAAAATTAACTATAGTTAATTGTAATAATATGTTTCTATATGCAATTTTAATTTCAAAGCAAAACTTGTTTCAAATAAAATTTTAATTATTTTAAACATTACATTACATTATGAAGTATTTTTTTCAAAATATCAACATTTTCTTTTTTCAAAGAACTCTTAATCTTTACTGCATTTCTTAATTATTCAAATGATTTACATTAATTGTATAAATAATCATAATTTTATTCAAACATCCTATGTCTATCTAATTTCATAATTTAAATAAAAGGATTGTTTAAATATCTTACTACTTACAAAAATTGTAACCAACCATTTATTGTAATTTGTAACTAGTACAAACTGTAGTTTATAATACGTACAATTTACTTTCTTTCTTTATTAACAAGCGAGATATGAATTCTTTTCTTTTTTTTTTTAAGGAATTTTATTTATTTTTATTTACAAAACACAATATCTATCGCAGTAATTAAACACAGTGCACGATTTATACAAATGAAAAATGTAGACAGATAGAATCAGTGGAAAAAGGACTTTTGGGGAGAAGAAGAAATCCTTTTAAAGGAAAAGGAAGAAGAAGAAGAAGCTGTGGAATAAGAAGAAGAAATAAAAATTATTTCTCGGTAACAAAATTTCTCGTCGATTATGGATTATCGTGTTTTTCGACGAATTACAAATACTTTTTTTAATTAACTTTCACGCGTGTTTTTCTCATATTTTTACAACCGCAAAAAATTATTCTTAAATAGATGTAATTTTTGTCTCTTTCCATTCTTTTCTCTTTTCTCTTTCTTTTTTTTTTTTTTTTTTTCTTTTACACTGGTGGCGCTTGCGTGTGTTGCAAACACCCTTCCACATTTTCAGGCCAATCACAAACGTTCTCGTTGGGATTAAATACTAGATTCACAGGGCAAGGCATGTGATGTTTCCTTTCACCTTCACACATATAATACATGGTGCAATCGCTCTTGTCAGGATGATAAGATATATGATTGTCTTCCTCGTCACAGCTCACCTCGTTCGCTGGAACAATCGACATAACAGCTGATTGTCTTTTAAAATTTACGCTATTACCGAAATCGATTAAAATTTTGGAATCACATTTCCAGTTTCAGGTAGTCTTCTGTTGATTTTAATCCAAATTTAATCCATTGCTATATAAATATGAATATTAATTTATTATTTTTTAGTAATTTCATTATTTTAAACGAATAAATTTTAATCTGATAATAATTTTGAATAATCACTCAAAAGTAGAAAAAAAGTTTCAAGATTCGCGAACAGGAAGCATAAAAGAGAGCTTTTTTTTAAGAATTTTAAATTATTATATTATATATCATAATGATTTAAAAATCGAAATACTTACGATCTTTGGTGGTGTACCTTCCATTTCTCAAGTGACTCTCGTAAGGACCATCGTATTCTAATTTCACTTTATAATCTCGCAGCTCTTTCATCATAGCTTTGATCAATGGATACTTGCCAGCTCCACAAGTTCCTTTAAAATCGTCCATGTCCACCGACCAAATCATTATACCTCCAAAACCTTCTTCTTTAAGCCATTGCATCTAATATACATATATAATTTACAGATAAAATGATTAATAACGATTAATTAGAATCCTTTAATTCTTTATCTATATACAATGTACATAGATAGATAATATTATAATTTCTTCCATTCGTTATTTGCATGATATATAAAAATGTTTCTCTCACCTTATTTATAAGGCTTCTCTCGTCATCGAAACCGACCCACTGATCATCCCTATACGCGAAAGGTACTTGTTGCTCACTATCCCAGACTAGAGTAGTGTTATCCTCGTTCAAAAAGCTGCAAATCTATACGCTCGTTGAGTATCTTGATTAACGAGATACAAGAAGTTATGATAAGAGTCTGTAGTACCTCGTAGTACGAGAGGAATCCAGATTCATTAGTGAAATTACCAGATGTTCCTCCACCCGAAGCAGGCGCCCCAATGTCAAATTTCTCTTTGTCCACCAATGTGAACGATCTGCCATATGTTGGCATACCGATCATTAATTTCTCTTTTGGAGCACCTTGCTTCACCCATTCCCTTGCGCTGTAATCCTACAATTTTTTTTTTTTAATTTAATTTTTGATAATAAATAATTGTGTATTATTAATAAATTATTAATAAACCAGGAGTATTTACACATGATGTAATTAAAACATACGATGGATCTAAATGTTTGGCAATTTTTATTACTTACCACCGTCAATTTCTTTTGATAACTCGTTGCACTTTCCAAGGGAAACAGAGGACTATTGTGACCCACTTGCCTCTCCCATTGACCATGAAAATCGTACGTCATCACGTTTATAAAGTCCAGATATTTGGATATTTCTGGTACATCGTATCTAGAAGAAGAAAGAAGGAGGAAAAAATACATAATTAAGAATAAAATTGAATTTAAATGTGAATTTGATGAACAAAAAATTCACCCCGCAGCAATAGCCTCGAAACTAGCTGGCACCGCGGCCGATAAAATTAATTTCGGTTGTCCAGAACTGTTCGCTTCCCCTTCGAAAGCGAGTCGAAGTTCCTTCAAAAGGTTCACATAGGCAGCTCGATCGTCACCACCCCTGATACGTTAGATTTTTATAAAAAAGAAAAAAAAAAAGAAAAATTAAATTAAAAAATAAAATTATTAATAAAATATTATATAATATTATTATATAAATATTATTATATAATATGTATATTATATAAATATTATATAAATATTATTAATAATTAATAAAATAAAATTAATTCAAAAAGTGAAAGAATTACTTTATTTACCGTGGATATTCCCAATCGACATCCAAACCATCAAATTTGTATTCCCTGAGGAATTCGATGGCCTCGTAAACGAATTGATTCATACGGAAAGTATTACTGGTCAATTCTCTGAATGGGGTCGATCCGAAAGCCCAGCCACCAATCGCCAATAATATCTGAAAAAAATCATTATTTCTGCGATGATTTGTAATTGAAATTGAAAACCAAACAGTAATGATTATATATGTTAATAACAATTTGATTAATAATTGATGATTCTTTAACATTTTTTTAAACGTGTTTTACTAAGATTTAACAAATCGAATCGTACCTTGAGATCAGGATTTTTGTTGCGCAAAGTCATCAGTCGCTCGTACATCTCCCCATCCTTTTCATTCTCTTCTGCCAGCAAGTAATTCTTCAACGTTGCGAAGGAATAGACTATGTGGGTGCAGAGAGTCGGATCAATGTCCTCTGGTACAAATTTTCCAGTTCCAGGTCGTTTGTGCGACCAATTCGTCATATAGCACATGGATTGGGCTGGTCTTTCTGTCATATATTAATTAAACAAAGTAATATAATAATAAAATAAGTAATATAATATAAAAATAAAATAAAGTAACATAATAATATAAAATTAATAAAATTAATTTAAAAATTATTAATTTTATTAATTAAAAATTAATAAAATTTCGTTCCAAAGACTTACTTCTTAATTCTTTTTTTAAAAATTTCACAAAAAATCGAGAAACAAAAAAACTTTTCAACAATTTTTTAAAATAATTTAAATAATATTTTTTACACAATTTCAATCGCAAAAAAGGATCATTATAATTTAAAAAACAAGATTTTACCATTGGTAGGAAGATTAATGACGAGTTGAGTTGTTTGCTTTTGATGTTTCTTCGCCTTGTTGATCACATCTGAGACCAATATCTTGTAAGGTTCCGGTTTCTTCAAGATGGTCTCAGACACGGTACTAGCGACTGCACTCCAATCAACGTCCTTGGCGTTCGGTCCTCTCGAAATTCCAAGCAATTCCTCTCTCATTGCACCGATTAAGGGGTACTTGACGTTTCCACCACACACGGTGCCGTTGAAGTCGTCCATATCAACCGTCCACACCATAGCACCGCCGTAACCCTTGCTCTTTAACCAATCCATCTTGAGTCGAATAGATTTCTCGTCGTCGAAGCCCACCCATTGATCATTTTGCACCATGTATGGCACTTTCATCTCATCGTCCCAGATGTAGGCTGCACCGTTTTGCAACATCTCGCAGATCTGTAGAAAATAAAAGAAAAAAATAATTTTAATAATTTTTCAATGAATTTTTCATTTGGTGTAAAAAGAATCTTCATTTTATTCATGTACAATGAAGTCATTATTATTTTAAATCATAGAAAATTTGTTTTATAGAAATTTCTGAA